CCATAGACTAGGACAGGGTAAGGGAAGGCCCATAGACTAGGACAGGGTAAGGGAAGGTCCATAGACTAGGACAGGGTAAGGGAAGGTCCATAGACTAGGACAGGGTAAGGGAAGGCCCATAGACTAGGACAGGGTAAGGGAAGGCCCATAGACTAGGACAGGGTAAGGGAAGGTCCATAGACTAGGACAGGGTAAGGGAAGGTCCATAGACTAGGACAGGGTAAGGGAAGGTCCATAGACTAGGACAGGGTAAGGGAATACCCATAGACTAGGACAGGGTAAGGGAAGGTCCATAGACTAGGACAGGGTAAGGGAAGGTCCATAGACTATGACAGGGTAAGGGAAGGTCAATAGACTATGACAGGGTAAGGGAATGCCCATAGACTAGGACAGGGTAAGGGAAGGTCCATAGACTAGGACAGGGTAAGGGAATGCCCATAGACTAGGACAGGGTAAGGGAAGGTCTATAGACTAGGACAGGGTAAGGGAAGGTCCATAGACTAGGACAGGGTAAGGGAAGGCCCATAGACTAGGACAGGGTAAGGGAAGGCCCATAGACTAGGACAGGGTAAGGGAAGGCCCATAGACTAGGACAGGGTAAGGGAAGGCCCATAGACTAGGACAGGGTAAGGGAAGGCCCATAGACTAGGACAGGGTAAGGGAAGGCCCATAGACTAGGACAGGGTAAGGGAAGGCCCATAGACTAGGACAGGGTAAGGGAAGGTCCATAGACTAGGACAGGGTAAGGGAAGGCCCACAGACTAGGACAGGGTAAGGGAAGGTCCGTCCCCTCCGCTCCTCCCACGCTCGCCTCCAGGACTTCTCTAGAGTCTCTCCCGTCCTCTGGAACTCTTTACCCCAACCTGTCCGTCTGTCTCCCACACTGGCTGTCTTTAGGCGATCCCACCTCAACAATTCATCCCCCCACACAGATCCCTCCTCCTCATGTATCACTGGCCCCTCCCCTCTTAGATTGTAAGCCCTCAGGGGCGGAGCCTCCTCACCATCTTGTGACTGTATATAAATCCTGTATAATAATAATAATGTCCTCACTCTCTGACCGTCTCCTGTAGTGTGTCCTCACTCTCTGACCGTCTCCTGTAGCGTGTCCTCACTCTCTGACCGTCTCCTGTAACGTGTCCTCACTCTCTGACCGTCTCCTGTAACGTGTCCTCACTCTCTGACCGTCTCCTGTAGCCTGTCCTCACTCTCTGACCGTCTCCTGTAGCGTGTCCTCACTCTCTGACCGTCTCCTGTAGCGTGTCCTCACTCTCTGACCGTCTCCTGTAGCGTGTCCTCACTCTCTGACCGTCTCCTGTAGCGTGTCCTCACTCTCTGACCGTCTCCTGTAGCGTGTCCTCACTCTCTGACCGTCTCCTGTAGCGTGTCCTCACTCTCTGACCGTCTCCTGTAGCGTGTCCTCACTCTCTGACCGTCTCCTGTAGCGTGTCCTCACTCTCTGACCGTCTCCTGTAGCGTGTCCTCACTCTCTGACCGTCTCCTGTAGCGTGTCCTCACTCTCTGACCGTCTCCTGTAGCGTGTCCTCACTCTCTGACCGTCTCCTGTAGCGTGTCCTCACTCTCTGACCGTCTCCTGTAGCGTGTCCTCACTCTCTGACCGTCTCCTGTAGCGTGTGCTCACTCTCTGACCGTCTCCTGTAGCGTGTGCTCACTCTCTGACCGTCTCCTGTAGCGTGTGCTCACTCTCTGACCGTCTCCTGTAGCCTGTCCTCACTCTCTGACCGTCTCCTGTAGCGTGTCCTCACTCTCTGACCGTCTCCTGTAGCGTGTGCTCACTCTCTGACCGTCTCCTGTAGCGTGTGCTCACTCTCTGACCGTCTCCTGTAGCGTGTGCTCACTCTCTGACCGTCTCCTGTAGCGTGTGCTCACTCTCTGACCGTCTCCTGTAGCGTGTGCTCACTCTCTGACCGTCTCCTGTAGCGTGTGCTCACTCTCTGACCGTCTCCTGTAGCGTGTGCTCACTCTCTGACCGTCTCCTGTAGCGTGTGCTCACTCTCTGACCGTCTCCTGTAGCGTGTGCTCACTCTCTGACCGTCTCCTGTAGCGTGTGCTCACTCTCTGACCGTCTCCTGTAGCGTGTGCTCACTCTCTGACCGTCTCCTGTAGCGTGTGCTCACTCTCTGACCGTCTCCTGTAGCGTGTGCTCACTCTCTGACCGTCTCCTGTAGCGTGTGCTCACTCTCTGACCGTCTCCTGTAGCGTGTGCTCACTCTCTGACCGTCTCCTGTAGCGTGTGCTCACTCTCTGACCGTCTCCTGTAGCGTGTGCTCACTCTCTGACCGTCTCCTGTAGCGTGTGCTCACTCTCTGACCGTCTCCTGTAGCGTGTGCTCACTCTCTGACCGTCTCCTGTAGCGTGTGCTCACTCTCTGACCGTCTCCTGTAGCGTGTGCTCACTCTCTGACCGTCTCCTGTAGCGTGTGCTCACTCTCTGACCGTCTCCTGTAGCGTGTGCTCACTCTCTGACCGTCTCCTGTAGCGTGTGCTCACTCTCTGACCGTCTCCTGTAGCGTGTGCTCACTCTCTGACCGTCTCCTGTAGCGTGTGCTCACTCTCTGACCGTCTCCTGTAGCGTGTGCTCACTCTCTGACCGTCTCCTGTAGCGTGTGCTCACTCTCTGACCGTCTCCTGTAGCGTGTGCTCACTCTCTGACCGTCTCCTGTAGCGTGTGCTCACTCTCTGACCGTCTCCTGTAGCGTGTGCTCACTCTCTGACCGTCTCCTGTAGCGTGTGCTCACTCTCTGACCGTCTCCTGTAGCGTGTGCTCACTCTCTGACCGTCTCCTGTAGCGTGTGCTCACTCTCTGACCGTCTCCTGTAGCGTGTGCTCACTCTCTGACCGTCTCCTGTAGCGTGTGCTCACTCTCTGACCGTCTCCTGTAGCGTGTGCTCACTCTCTGACCGTCTCCTGTAGCGTGTGCTCACTCTCTGACCGTCTCCTGTAGCGTGTGCTCACTCTCTGACCGTCTCCTGTAGCGTGTGCTCACTCTCTGACCGTCTCCTGTAGCGTGTGCTCACTCTCTGACCGTCTCCTGTAGCGTGTGCTCACTCTCTGACCGTCTCCTGTAGCGTGTCCTCACTCTCTGACCGTCTCCTGTAGCGTGTGCTCACTCTCTGACCGTCTCCTGTAGCGTGTGCTCACTCTCTGACCGTCTCCTGTAGCCTGTCCTCACTCTCTGACCGTCTCCTGTAGTGTGTCCTCACTCTCTGACCGTCTCCTGTAGCCTGTCCTCACTCTCTGACCGTCTCCTGTAGCGTGTCCTCACTCTCTGACCGTCTCCTGTAGCGTGCCCTCATTCTCTGACCGTCTCCTGTAGCGTGCGCTCACTCTCTGACCGTCTCCTGTAGCGTGTCCTCACTCTCTGACCGTCTCCTGTAGCGTGTCCTCACTCTCTGACCGTCTCCTGTAGCGTGTCCTCACTCTCTGACCGTCTCCTGTAGCGTGTCCTCACTCTCTGACCGTCTCCTGTAGCGTGTGCTCACTCTCTGACCGTCTCCTGTAGCGTGTCCTCATTCTCTGACCGTCTCCTGTAGCGTGTGCTCACTCTCTGACCGTCTCCTGTAGCGTGTGCTCACTCTCTGACCGTCTCCTGTAACCTCGGGTTCTTGTCTCTCGCAGATGCCACCGAAGAAGAAGACGTCGCAGGGTGAAGCTGCCGAGGATCCTGGGAGGCGGAGCCCGGCGGAGGGGGAGGGGCTTGTGGTCAGTGAGGGGGAACGGCGGCTCCGCGGGGAGCACGAGCGTCTGATGAGCGAACACGACGGGCTGAGGAAACGCCTGGAGCAGCTGCGCAGAGACAACGAGTTCCTGCAGGAGGAAGCCGAGACGGTGCGCAGGGAGAGTCAGGAATACCTCCTGTACATGGGGAGGCGGAGCCAGCGGCGGCAGGACGCCATCATCAGCCTCAACGACCAGAACACGCGAGAGCTGGAGGACCTCAGGAGGCAGAAGGAGGAGCTGGAGGCCGTCCTCGGGGGGGAGGAGGAGACTCTGAGAGGACAACTCCTCCAGCGGGAGGCGGAGCTAGCCGCCCTGAGGAGAGAGCTGAAGGAGGCGGAGCCCATGAAGGAGGTTCAGAGGGAGCAGATGTCCCTCATCAGGAGGCTGGAGGCCGAGGTCATGACCTCCCGGGGGAAACACGCCCACTCCCTGCTCAGGGTGAAGAGCGCCTTCCTGCGCCACAAGGTGGCGTGTCAGCAGGACTCCGAGCGTCACCTTACCCAGCTCTCCCTGAGGGCCCACGAGGAGGCCCGGAGCGCCCTGCACGGGGTGAGCCGGAGGGTGAAGGAGGAGAACCGGAACCTGAGGGAGGAGCTTCTGCCACTCATCAACCAATACCGGGGCCTCCAGAACCAGAAGAAGAAGCTGATGGAGCAGAAGAAGGAACTGCAGAGAGAAGAGCGGTGCCAGAGCGAGGTCCGGAGCGCCCAGCGGAGGCTCAACACCTCCCCCCCATAGGAAGGGGGAGGGTGGAAACTTCCTCCCCCCACCCAATATTAGATTTGTGGGGCGAATGATTTCGATTTCTTGTCTCATCTTCCAAAACAATAAAGTTTTTTTGACGTTTCCATTTTCCTGGTGTTTTTTTGGCCTTCGCAGATAGAAACGGGATTCTTAGAGGAACTCTCCGCCCGGCTGAATCCCCGAGACCTCCCCAATGGACGGACCTCCCCAATGGACGGACCTCCCCAATGGACGGACCTCCCCAATGGACGGACTTCCCCAATGGAGGGACCTCCCCAATGGACGGACCTCCCCAATGGACGGACCTCCCACACATGGAGGGACCTCCCCAATGGAGGGACCTCCCCAATGGACGGACCTCCCCAATGGACGGACCTCCCCAATGGACGGACCTCCCCAATGGACGGACTTCCCCAATGGAGGGACCTCCCCAATGGACGGACCTCCCCAATGGACGGACCTCCCACACATGGAGGGACCTCCCCAATGGACGGACCTCCCCAATGGACGGACCTCCCCAATGGACGGACTTCCCCAATGGACGGACCTCCCCAATGGACGGACTTCCCCAATGGACGGACCTCCCCAATGGAGGGACCTCCCCAATGGAGGGACCTCCCCAATGGAGGGACCTCCCCAATGGACGGACCTCCCCAATGGACGGACCTCCCCAATGGACGGACCTCCCCAATGGACGGACTTCCCCAATGGAGGGACCTCCCCAATGGACGGACCTCCCCAATGGACGGACCTCCCACACATGGAGGGACCTCCCCAATGGACGGACCTCCCCAATGGACGGACCTCCCCAATGGACGGACCTCCCCAATGGACGGACCTCCCCAATGGACGGACCTCCCCAATGGACGGACCTCCCCAATGGACGGACCTCCCCAATGGACGGACCTCCCCAATGGACGGACCTCCCCAATGGACGGACTTCCCCAATGGACGGACCTCCCCAATGGACGGACTTCCCCAATGGACGGACCTCCCCAATGGAGGGACCTCCCCAATGGACGGACCTCCCCAATGGAGGGACCTCCCCAATGGACGGACCTCCCCAATGGACGGACCTCCCCAATGGACGGACCTCCCCAATGGACGGACTTCCCCAATGGAGGGACCTCCCCAATGGACGGACCTCCCCAATGGACGGACCTCCCACACATGGAGGGACCTCCCCAATGGACGGACCTCCCCAATGGACGGACCTCCCCAATGGACGGACTTCCCCAATGGACGGACTTCCCCAATGGAGGGACTTCCCCAATGGACGGACCTCCCCAATGGACGGACCTCCCCAATGGACGGACCTCCCACACATGGAGCGACCTCCCCAATGGACGGAGATCGGAAAGTGACTCCAAGTCTGTTGGCCCCCCAAGCTGAGCCGGTTCGGGGTGACCACCAATCCCGAGGCCAGGACTGGAGGCAGGGAGTGTTCCAGGGACAGGCAGGAGGACCCGTGGCCAGGCTCATTATCCCACGGCCGATGATGAAGTGTGGGGGAGGTGCAGTGAGCAGCCACCAGGCGGAGGCTGGGACATGGGGGTGTGACCTCCGCTCCTTCCACGGACCCCTCAGAGAAGATCTCCAGATTTGGAACCATTTGCGCTTATTAAAACCAGATAGAAAATTTCCACCAATCGTCTCCATAGCAGAAACCACGCCCACACACTGCTCCCATCCTCTAGACTCCGCCCACCATGCTGCCCACCCACCTACAGACCCCTGTGGCTCCACAAACCTGATGTCACTCTCATGCCGACTGACTGAACATTGCCTGCCAATCGGTGCCGTGTTTCCATGCCCATAGCACAGCATTAGCAGTTGCGAGGTCCCTCAGGGTTTCCGGTGGAGTCGGCGGGATGCGCGGTCCCTCAGGGGTCCGGGGGAGTCGGCAGGGTGCGCGGTCCCTCAAGGGTCCGGGGGAGTCGGCAGGGTGCGCGGTCCCTCAAGGGTCCGGGGGAGTCGGCAGGGTGCGCGGTCCCTCAAGGGTCCGGGGGAGTCGGCAGGGTGCGCGGTCCCTCAAGGGTCCGGGGGAGTCGGCAGGGTGCGCGGTCCCTCAAGGGTCCGGGGGAGTCGGCAGGGTGCGCGGTCCCTCAAGGGTCCGGGGGAGTCGGCAGGGTGCGCGGTCCCTCAAGGGTCCGGGGGAGTCGGCAGGGTGCGCGGTCCCTCAAGGGTCCGGGGGAGTCGGCAGGGTGCGCGGTCCCTCAAGGGTCCGGGGGAGTCGGCAGGGTGCGCGGTCCCTCAAGGGTCCGGGGGAGTCGGCAGGGTGCGCGGTCCCTCAAGGGTCCGGGGGAGTCGGCAGGGTGCGCGGTCCCTCAAGGGTCCGGGGGAGTCGGCAGGGTGCGCGGTCCCTCAAGGGTCCGGGGGAGTCGGCAGGGTGCGCGGTCCCTCAAGGGTCCGGGGGAGTCGGCAGGGTGCGCGGTCCCTCAAGGGTCCGGGGGAGTCGGCAGGGTGCGCGGTCCCTCAAGGGTCCGGGGGAGTCGGCAGGGTGCGCGGTCCCTCAAGGGTCCGGGGGAGTCGGCAGGGTGCGCGGTCCCTCAAGGGTCCGGGGGAGTCGGCAGGGTGCGCGGTCCCTCAAGGGTCCGGGGGAGTCGGCAGGGTGCGCGGTCCCTCAAGGGTCCGGGGGAGTCGGCAGGGTGCGCGGTCCCTCAAGGGTCCGGGGGAGTCGGCAGGGTGCGCGGTCCCTCAAGGGTCCGGGGGAGTCGGCAGGGTGCGCGGTCCCTCAAGGGTCCGGGGGAGTCGGCAGGGTGCGCGGTCCCTCAAGGGTCCGGGGGAGTCGGCAGGGTGCGCGGTCCCTCAAGGGTCCGGGGGAGTCGGCAGGGTGCGCGGTCCCTCAAGGGTCCGGGGGAGTCGGCAGGGTGCGCGGTCCCTCAAGGGTCCGGGGGAGTCGGCAGGGTGCGCGGTCCCTCAAGGGTCCGGGGGAGTCGGCAGGGTGCGCGGTCCCTCAAGGGTCCGGGGGAGTCGGCAGGGTGCGCGGTCCCTCAAGGGTCCGGGGGAGTCGGCAGGGTGCGCGGTCCCTCAAGGGTCCGGGGGAGTCGGCAGGGTGCGCGGTCCCTCAAGGGTCCGGGGGAGTCGGCAGGGTGCGCGGTCCCTCAAGGGTCCGGGGGAGTCGGCAGGGTGCGCGGTCCCTCAAGGGTCCGGGGGAGTCGGCAGGGTGCGCGGTCCCTCAAGGGTCCGGGGGAGTCGGCGGGGTGCCTCAGGGCTGTCACATGACAGGATGGGGAGTGAATACATTCCTCCAAACCCCAAAATAACTCCTCATTCCTGGCAGGGGCAACAACGGGGCAAGTTTGGGGCAGTTGGAGTCCCACTTTAAGGGACCCAAGCCACTCCTCTTCCATCTGCGAGGACCGGGGCAGAGGACACTGGAAGGCCATTGGCTCTTTATTGCTCCGCCTCTCATGTCACAGCTCTGGTTAGAACGATGTCAGCCTCCCCATCGGATGGAGGTCAGATGTCCCGGTGTGAGTCGGTCTGACACTGGCTGTGTGCAGGAGGGAGGAACGGGATCCATCAGCTCGACCCCCGCCAGCACGCTGCACTGAAGTACATGTATGAGTGGCTGCACATGTATGAGTGGCTGCACATGTATGAGTGGCTGCACATGTATGAGTGGCTGCACATGTATGAGTGGCTGCACATGTATGAGTGGCTGCACATGTATCAGTGGCTGCACATGTATCAGTGGCTGCACATGTATGAGTGGCTGCACATGTATGAGTGGCTGCACATGTATGAGGGGCTGGAAGTGTATGAGGGGCTGCACA